GGGGGGGAGGGGATTATCTGAGCAGGATATAAACGTAAATGGCTTGAAAAATCGGCTTAAACTTTCGTCTTTTCCGCGACCGTTTTCAACTCATCCGTTCTCCACGGCTTGGCTGCTGCTCGTTGTCACCAAACAGCTGTCGCCTCATTCCGTGCACCCGCCCTTGCTCGCCGTCAAGTCAAGAACATCAAACACGTTCGACATTCGCCCAAGTGCACGCCACCCTTTTTGTGGGTAATTATCGCCAGTTAGTCGCAGCACAAATATGGCGCTTTAACTGAACATTACATAATTATTGCTTAACGAGTAATTCACATATTATTTGGTTCTTTCGGTAAAGTCACGTAGATAGAATTTTTTTTTTAAGTGAGCGTACTGGCAGTCTATAATGTAGACTGTAGCAATGGTTATTAAACTGAACCTGAGTGAGTGTACTGGCAGTCTATAATGTAGACTTATCCTGGTTCTTTCAGTAATAAAAAAAACACAAAAACCACGACGTTTCTATCGCAAACACAAGCGGTCGAAACGACGTGGTTTTTATTTGACTTGATAATTAGGGGTCCCATACCTAATTACCATTACCGTACCAGTAATTAAAAGTAGCTGCAGTCATGAAAGAAGTAGCTCTGGGGTCTGTCTGGGGCCGTTCGTTGTTTACACAGGGTGGTGCACTGCTCACTGCCACGAGTATCATGAATGGGACTCATCTCCTCTTGCGACAATGGCACCCATAGAACAATTGAAATGTGCCCATATGATGTTCGGCATGTTGTCCGACGTTTTCGCTCTTCATGTATGCTTTGTATGTTGAACTTCTTTCGCACCGTACGTAGTCAAACGTGCTAATTAGATGTGGGGGTGGAAGGACAACAAACTAAACACAAAAATCAGTTTTTTAAGAAATGAATCTTCAAACGATCAATCACATACTCTTTGGTCCTATTCGGTAAAGTCACGTAGGTAAAAAATAAAACAACAAAAATCACGACGTTTCGGCCACAACACAAGCGGCCTTCATTGGGTGAAGGGACCAGACTGTCTCGAAGACTGCGCTGGAGTGAAACAGAGCCAAGCTCAGACCACGAGAGGGATTAGGGTGCCTTGACAAAGGAATTAGCATAAAAATTAGCATTTGATTGGCGGACTTAGCATGATGAAAGGTGCAGCTCAGTGATCGGCGACGGCAATGCACCAGCCTGTGCTGCGAAAGTTTGGGGTACCATTACTTGAAAAAATATATTGTACCAATGAAAATTAGTTTAATGTTTGGTTCGATTTAGAACATCTTTCCAATGGTTGCTTAATTTTTAACCATCTTCTCGGTTGAAATTGTGTCGTGTTTGTAGATCTGAATTGCCTCGTGAACAAATCTCTGATAAAAATCTGTGGGTTTGCAAAGAACCTTGGTATCGGAGAAAATTATATCGTGATCACCCACAGCGTTGTAACAGTGATCAGCCACGGCAGAAGAATTCGTTCTGCCGTGTTTCAAATCTGATTTGTGCTCGCGAATTCGGTCGGAGACATGTCGCTTCGTCTCCCCGATATAGCAATCACCGCAGGTACAACTCAATTTGTAAACACCGGGGTACTGTAAGTCAGGAATGACATCCTTCACGGATGAGATCAGATCACGAATTTTGTGTACTGTATTGAACCGGACCTGGATCTTGTGTTTGTTTAGAATTTTGGAAATCTTTTTAGTAACGCCTGCTATATATTGTAGTGTGATGGTTTTGACCGGAGTATCAAGTGGTTGTTTCTGTTTGGAGGGAGAAACAGCTTGGCGGATGGTACGGTCAGAGTATCCATTCCTTTTGAGGGCCAGGTGTACATGTTTTAATTCACTGGTCAGGTGGTGTTGGTCTGAAATGCAAAGAGCCCAATGGGAGCTTCCTTACGATTGTTTTTGTATTAAATGCAGTTCATTCCGGATGCTATGAAATTGTATTATCTTTGATACCCAAATTCGAGATCTAATTTCCAATCTGCTCCTTTCATTATTCCCAAACACTTGGGGTGACGGTCAAGTGAAGCAAAGGTGCAGCCCTGCATTTGCTTATTGACGCCACTGCTGGCTAAACTGGCCTCCAACTCGAGGGGCGAGATTTAGAGAGCCTCTGTCGAGGGTTTCTTTCCCCATTCTTTCCACACCGGCCAGGAAATCCTGGAAGAGGTGGCGGTCCTCACCCTTTACCCGACCTGCCAATAGACTAACTGTGGTTCCCATTTGTATGTATCATGTTGAACTTCTTTTCGCGCCATACGTAGCCAACCGTAGCCAACCGTGCTCATCTGGGTGGACAGAGGCGGTGAAACTTTCCCCGGTGTCGCACCTGCCGCACCGGGAGATAGATTAGAACATCTGGGTAGCGGCATCAAGTGTGGTGCGCTAACCTGCTCGAGACGTGGACCGTGTTGAGGACACACAACTCTTGTTGTGCAAGGTGGTGCTGGGAATCTGCAGCCTCGGGGTTTGACGATCCCTCTATACAAAATTCCCCTCTTGCTAGGGTCAACGCACAATTGTTTGTATTAATCGTCACATGTATGTATGTTAAACTTCTTTCGCGCAGTACGTAGCCAACGGTGCTAATCGGAGGTGCGAGGGAAAGACAACAAACTAAACACAATAAGTTGATGCAGAAAGCGCAGATGCAGTCATTGCAGTCAGCCTTAAACTAGTGAAGGGAACAAATATAACGGGCGCCTTTGAATACAGTACCACACGTGAAGTCGTGCTAACTCAGTCGCCTCACGGGCGCGGGGGGCAGGGGGGTGCCTTGCCCCCCCCCCCCCGGTGGCCAAAGCTACGAGTCGGGGCCCCCTTTGACAACCACCACGAGAGACAAATCAAACGCTGGGGACCCCGTGACCGATTGCCCCTCCGCACCCCCCAAGCTGATAATGTCTTTACGACTCCGCCGTGTCATCTGCACACAAATCACTTTTCGCCAGCGTGTCTCGCGATGCCACTGCAATTAAACTGGGTTCTTTATATGTTTTAATCGTGTAAAGGTCGCCGAAGGCCGACGTCAATGTATAAATAGCTCCACCTGCCGTCGGACGATCGTGCAGAGGTCGGAGCACGCGATTGGCCGAGCGGTCTCGAGGGGAGAACGCGCGAGGAAGTGGAGGATGTCTGGGGGGGAGGAGGAAGAGATGGGATTGGTGAGGAGGATCATTCGGAGAACCTTGCAAGAGGGTCGAGAATGAGCAGTGAGGGAAGATGGGGGGGGGAGGTATGAGGCCTTTTGGAGAGACCTTCCCACGAGTAGCGTGCGTGTGCGTGTTCCGGCCTTCATAGCTGCTCGCTAACAGTGCTTGCCCAAACAGTCTATTGAAGGCTACATGGCGATCTTTGTCTTTGTGTTGCTGGCCACCCATTCCCTCGTGTGCTGCGCCCGTCTTCATAGGTGCTCGCTAACAGCACTTGCACCTACATTCGGTTCAGGATATACCGGGGATCTTTGTCTATGTGTGCGCTTGAGGGCAGTGTATTTGTGGGGAGGTTTATGGGGCAGTTGTGGAGAGAGTGGAGATGTTTCCATACCTTGGCAGTGTGCTATAATGAACTCTGCTTTGACAGCAGAGGTTTCACTCCGACTCAGTCAGGCGGCATATTTTCATGGGCTGCGTAATGCTGTGTGGAAGCGAACTTGTCTGTCATTCCATACAAAGCTTCAGGTCTTCTCAGCCACAGTCATGCCCTTCTTTCTCTATGCTTGCAAAACCTGGACCGTCCAAATGGAACATCTGCGCCGGTTACAAATATTAAGTCTGACTCGCCTACGATCTATCCCGGGTTTAACCAGTTGTATTCGTGAGCTCCGGCAGGCAAGGCTACGTCGGCTCGGTCATTTAGACCACATACCCAGCCTCCGCATCCCCAAACAGATTTTGTTTGGCCGGATAGAGGGGGTTAAATGGCCACGGTACTAGCTCGAGAATAGATGGACTAATGTGATACAGGAGGATATGGAGCTGAGTCGACTTGCGGACGACTGGTCCCAGGCTTTTCACGTTCGGCCTCTGTGGAGGAGGCTCATGAAGGACGCTTTCTGGGAAGTTAGAGCCAGCCGCCCTCCAGCAACAGCGGAGGGCAGAGAGCCGACGCTCACAACAACGAGCGGAGTGTCGGGTGGCTAAAACACAGGTGGTGCATCTGCTTTTAAAGACTGATCAAGTGTGTGTGTGTGCAGCACTGGTGTTACTGCCCAGTGTAGAAAGCACGCTGCCAGCTCTTGGCAAAATAATAAAATAAATAGGTAAATAGTTTCACTCTCAAGGGAGATTATTTTGTCCAGGATGCCTGCAGCTGAAGACAAGCTGCACCCCATGATTAACGGCCGAATTGTCGCGTTACTGCCACCGCTCGAGTGATTTTCGATGTCTAAACACGCGCGTTCAAGTGGCTCTTCACAACCGATGGGGGTCCTTTCGTGTCGTCATTCACAGACGCCGCACGATCACTCTCGATTGGGACTATAAATTTACACAATTGCGACCGTGCATTGCAACCACTACTACCTACTGGCAGGAGACCCATGCCCCAGGTCACGCTCGCAAGTGAGACCCCTGTCCCCTGGTCTCTCACAGTTTTTGCCCTGGTCAACTTGAAACTCGAATCGGATCGTCGCCAATCGCTGCTCGATGCATCTCCAGTTTTCTTTTTTACGCGCAAAGAATGCGCAGCATTGTCCTGGTGGCGCCAGTCACTCGTGCACTGCGTGTAGCTATACGTATACACACACACACATACTCTGCATGTTTCTGCACAGCACATTACAGCGGTACAAATTGCGGGTGCGACGTTTTCCCGCAGCCAACTCCTGCCGAGCGGGCGCTGAGCGCGTGTTTGTGATGTGCAGCGTGACGGCATGCGGTGTGCTGATGGTGGTCACTGTGTTGGCATCGCGTGCTTGTGATTCATACGTTTGCTTATTTATTTTTAAAACATTTGTCTATTGTCCTTTTCTTTTGGTGCAATCATCCAGCGACATGCGAAGAGCGAAACCGCCTTTCCCATTGTGGAGCTTCCAGTCACAGCCCTAGACTCGACCCTGCAGCAGGTATAACTCGGCACCTGGTGAAGCGGGAGGCTGGGGCGCACATCTTGGTCAGTGCACACCCCCCCTCCCCCACCAGGGAGCACCCCCGCCCCCCCACCGCCTGCTCCCCCCCCTCCACCTCCCCCCCACAGGGCCCTCTTTGCCCTCCTCCAGCCCCCGCTAAGCGAAGCGTCACGCGGGCAGACGAAGCGCCGTAAGTCGCTCTTGGGGCGAGCGTCGGTCACGTCGGCCGGGGCGGTCAGCCCGGCCCGCCTCGCTACTCCACGTTCCTTTGGTCGTGAGTGGGCCTCATGCATCCCACGCACCTGCGCTTGTCGCAACAGGCTGCCCACAGGCATTTCTCCGTCGTGCGAACGAGCGTTAAAAAGCGCTCCCCTTGACGATGTACAGCACCTCGGAGACGAGATTAATTGTACATCGAAAATATAATAAGAGGATCAAACATCCAAAAGCAGGACAGGACTCTCCTCAAGAGTCTTGAGACTCATAAAATCGACCCTGGATAAATAAGACTGGCAATGACTTTCCTTACGATAGATGCTCTGTTAAATTAATCAAACAAAGCTCAAAGCTTTTTCATTTTGTATAAAAACAGCACAGTCTCTACTGTAGTGTACCTGTAGATACACACGCACAGGCAACACGGCACGAGGTGCTTTGAATGCCGGCAGAGATTGAGATATCTCAGGGCCAGAATTAAGCTCGCGACCCTGAAGGTCGCTGCAAACGCATTAACGCGATGGACACGATTCTCCCGGGGGGTCCCGCGCAGCGCTTGGCGTGAATCGAATCAATGCGGCGTCTCTCGCCGTCGGTGCCCATCGATTTCGTGTCTCTGCGGCGCCCGCTGCGCGTCTCCGAGGCACGGGGGGCGACTGTCGGAGGAAATCGATGTCGCCCGCCATGCTCTGTTGCGGTCGTTAAGCCCAGGCACGTTCCGGGGCCGCCACCGCAGCTGCGAACGTCGCGAGCGCCGCCGTGGCCGCCGTGGCCGCCGTGGCCGCCGTGGCCACGCTCGCGAGGGGCGGCCTGGGGGCGCGCGATCGCCGCTTCTGAGAGCTGTGGGGGGGTCGAGGGGGCGCGGTCGTCACGGCGACCGCTTCACCGGCGTCGTTCCATTCTGTTTTGGTTGTTTCAGCGGGGAGTGCCTTCCCGGAGCGGTGCCGGCTGTCGCCCATCATTCTGTTTGAGCGGCCGCTGCCATCGGCCGCAGAAGGGATGGCAGCGGGCGCGGGACGTGGATCGGGCGCTCGGCGTGTGCTCACCGATTGGAGACAAATCTCAGAAAAGACACGCACGGCTCTTGTGCATACACGCTCGCACGCACGCCTGTGCGGTGTGTCCCCGGATGTCCCACTTGAGGTTTGGAGATTCGCAGTTAGACGTAAAAACGGTTGAAAATCACTGTCAAGCACTCATCTCTGCGATGGCCCTTCCTGCGCTTTGTTATTTCAACCGCTTTATTGATCATTCACGAAGCTTGGAGCTCCTGTTGAGAAGAGTCGGGGACGCACAGCCTCAGTTCGTCCGAGCACAACACAGGAGCCGTTTGTGTATTTAGGCCACATTGTACATAGCCTGAATTAATGCATTATATTAAGACAAACTTTCAGCAGATTGCTATGGTGAGGACAGGGGCAGGCGAACAGACATCTTCTCGTAATTAAATTCCATCACGGATGGGGATTACGGGGGAACATTCTGTGCCATCGTGGCACAGAAGTAATGACACCAAACACGCCACACTTTCCCACACAAAAAAATGTATCAACAATTTATCTTCATTTTATTTTTCTTCTGAGTTTGTGTACTTTTCGGTTTAACGTTCACTTAATCTGTTTTTACATTTCTGCGCTCTGTATTTCACACCTCAGTCACGCAATCATCCCATTCTTAACCCTTTTTGATCACTTCAAAGCCACACGTCTGGGAATTCTCTGACCTGTGGGTGACGACGAGAGAGAGAGAGAGCAGGAGCGTGACGTCCCGCGTGCCTCGTGCCTCGTGCAGGTCCTCTCTCTGGGAGCTGATGTCCTTCCCGAGTACAAACTTCAAGCCCCACGCATCCAGAAATGGACCATCCTCCACTACAGCCCCTTCAAGGCCATGTGGGACTGGCTCATCCTGCTGCTCGTCATCTACACCGCCGTCTTCACGCCTTTCTCTGCCGCCTTCCTGCTCAACGACCCGCAGGTGCGCTGGGAGCGTGGCATCCATCCGCGCCCGCTCGGGGGTTGAGTCGGGATGCGCCTCAGAGTTCAGTTGCGTCAGAGTCAGGTGCCCAGTTTCCGTTGGCGCCATCCCGTGCTGGGCAAGTGCCGGGCCATCCCTGCGCGGGTCGCGAGGCGCCAGCTTGTTTTTCCACTGCAGAAGCCGAACCGAGCCCTGCTGCTGACATCGAACGCAACGAACGGTTCAAGGCGCGTGTCGACTGCGCGTTGCCGTGATGTTCGCGTTGTACCGACTGATGTCACGAGTAATGGACGTGTCCCTAGCCCCGCCTCTGGCCCTGCTTGGACTCGAGCCGGTTTTAATTTGTCTTGTAAGACCGGTGCATCAAGGTTCAGTTCGGACTCTGAGTGGCAAATTACCTGTGCCATGAGGGCCCTGCGCTGGCCTCGGCTGAGATGTGCCAGTGGAATTGGATAAGGGCACCCTGCTGCTCGAACGAGTGATGGAGCTGTGCTCGCCTCCTCTTGTGGGCAGTGGCGGAAATTCCACATTCCTCTCATGGGAGCCAGAGCCCTTCACGAAACAACCGCTGGTGACATCTCACAAAGTGGTCATTTTTATTTTATTGACCCCAGAGCGATGATGGGCACGGCGGAGCCACAGCTGTGATTCTAAATTGGCAGCAGATTTTTTTTTTACGAATGTATTTTGCTTCGTTGTTGTGGGTTGTGGGTATTAGCGTAGTCAAGGAAAGATACACCACTCTCCCACGTGTGTGTTGGTCGCACTGCGTGTCGTCTGGCATGACGTCCGACGTATCGCTCCACGTACTGCCGGTTTCTTCAGGAATTGACTTCAGTTGCAGACCTCGTGCCGAACGACAGCAGCACAACCGCAAACACCCACGCAATCACTCCCTCGTCAGTCAGGCCGTGGGTTCTCCGGACCGGTGTGCTCATGAACACGTCTTCTCAACGACGAGTCTCATCGGCAGAATCAGACACATGCAACAAAGGCTGCTGGGCTGCCTTGTGTTGCTGGTGAGAGCTGCGCACTTATACCGTGGGGCCCACTCAGTGGACCCGCCAGGTTGTACAAATCTTGTGGTGTGCCATCGTGGAGAATTGCGGGCAAGAAGGCAGTAAATAAATAAATACAGTGGAGAGCCTTCGGCCAGCAGTGGAGTGAGCAAAGCGATTGCCGGGCTCCTGGTGGCTCTTGCGTGGTGATCAATGAAGACCGCTTGTCTACTCCTCTCTCTCTCTCTCTCGCTCTCTCTCCGTGTAGTAAGCGAATGAGACGTCTGCCACTGCAGGTCGACCGGCAGCGGCAGGGCTGCGCCTACGCCTGCGACCCCCTGAGCATCGTGGACCTGCTCGTGGACATCATGTTCATCGTGGACATCCTCATCAACTTCCGGACGACGTACGTCGACGACAACGACGAGGTGGTGAGCCATCCGGGCAAAATCGCCATCCACTACTTCAAGGGCTGGTTCCTCATCGACATGGTGGCGGCCATCCCCTTCGACCTGCTCATCTTTGGCTCAGGCTCCAATGAGGTTTGTCCTCGTGTGCGCGTGCGTCTGTGCGTGTGTGGAGAGCGGTGGTGTAGCGGTAAGCGTGCCGCGCCACGAACCCGGCGACTCAAATTCGATTCCCGCTCATGGCCAACACCGGTGACGATTATCTGAACCGGTCCTGGGCCTCCCCTCGGTCGACTCAGCCTCAAATGATTACCTGGTGTAAACCTCGCCACCGGGGAGACAAAAGTGGCCGGCCGTGGTGCTGGCCGCCCCCCCCCCCCTCGTGCGCGAGTCCCCCCGCGTCGCGCCCCCCGAAGCCGCCCGCCCCCTCGGCCATCGCCGTTTTGACGCCGCCGATTAACTTTCATCGCCTTCATTTGTATTCCGTTTGTATTCCGTTGCGCGTTTCGCTGGCCTCGTAGAACAAGGGCGCCACTGCCCGCGTGGCCCGCGCTCGGCTCAGGCGCTCAACCTTGCCCCACCCCCCGCCCTCTGCTGGCCGAGCAATTGGGGGAGAAGCGCACGCGTCGCCAGAGAGATTACGCCGAAGTGATGGCAACGCGATTGGATTAGCGGTCGGTTCCCATCGAGGGCGTTCGCACGGCCGGACAGCATCGAATTGCGATAAGTTTGGCGCCCACACTCGACATCTGTGACAAAGAGCTTCGTAGCTAATCGGATTCCTCCAGGGTGAATAAAGGTTCTGATTCCGAGGTGCCCTCACCTTCCTTCCCATCCTCGCCTCGTCGATGTCCATCGATTCGGCCTGTCGGGACGCCGCCTTCCGCCGTAATTTAAAGCTTCTTTTGAAACAGAAGCGGCACATCCGCAAAGAGGACATCGAGCTTTAGTCTTTTAATCAACCGGCCAAATTATCGTCGGCAAACACTGAGGAAGGGAGTGTGTATTTAAATGTATACACGCACGCGCAAACAAATCCCACTTATTGACGCCGTCGAATTGAATTTCGTGCTGTACATGACATTGCATGTGTGTGCAATGTATGTGAACATTCGGAATGTATCGTTTAGCTGAATACATTCTCAATTCAACCCACGTAACGTATTTATTTGATCAAAAACGTTATATAATGAGATCAAAATGTGTTCTCATTGAAATAATCAAAAGCCGATATCCCCCTCTCAGCGAGCCCCAGCAATCCGCACCTACGATTATCACGGTTGGCTTCGTACGGTGGGAAAGAAGTTCAACATAATACATACATACTGATGACCTTTCCAGGCTACCGGGCATGCGCCACCGTCTCGTCAGACCCCGGGAGCTCAGCAGGCCGTAGCCTGCTTAGTAACTTGGATGGGTGACCACCCCAGGGCTTGCCAAGTGCTGTTGGTGTGGGACTGAGAGATGTGGCCAGGATGTCGCAGTGCTGAGATGTTTCCCCGTGTGCACCGTGGCTTTGGTTGGCGGTGTGCACCGTGGGGTTTCTCAGGGTTTCCCCGCTTTATTTACACGAGAAGCCAAACTCCCAGGAGTGGGATTGACCAAACATCCCGAGCGAGCGTGATCCTCCTCATGAGAACCTCGGGACTCGGGGTGAGCCTTTCCATTGTAGATACTTAGCTTTTTTCCTTAAAAATAATTGGATGCTCCCGTGACCGTAGAATTAGCCCATTGGACCTGTGGCCGTCTGGAACGCTCTGTGGCCGTCTGGAACGCTCTTCCTTCCAATATTAGGAAGCCACTGGAGCTATGCACTTTTAAATCATCTATATTGACAACCCATTTGTTTAGACATGCTGTTTGTGTTTCGTTTGTTGTCCTTTTCCCCGCACCTGCGATTAGCACGGTTGGCTACATACAATGCAAGCTAATTTCAACATGCACACATGCAAACCGGGGTATTACCGTGATTGGCATTGTAAATTGGGAAGCAGAAAAAAAAAGTAATTTTGTAAAACGGTCACTGCCGCCACCGCCCATCTCTGCCCTTTGACACTCGACCCCCGCGACCCCTTGGCCCCGCCCACAGACGACGATCCTCATCGGGCTGCTGAAGACGGCGCGACTGCTGCGGCTGGTGCGCGTCGCGCGCAAGCTGGACCGCTACTCGGAGTACGGCGCCGCCGTACTCATCCTGCTCATGTGCACGTTCGCGCTCATCGCTCACTGGCTCGCGTGCATCTGGTACGCCATCGGCAACGTGGAGCGCACCTACACCATGGAGCAGATCGGATGGCTCTACGCGCTGGGCAAGCAGATCAACAGGCGAGTGAAAGGGGGGGGGTCACTCGCCTTCGAGTGCACCGTGTGTGTTTCTCGGCGCTCGTCACGAGCGCCGAGATTTGAGGAATTCATTGACGAATGAACGAGCGGTTGAGTTAATGAGCGAGCGAGCGAGTGAGGGAATACGCATTTGAATTGGCGAGTGAACAAATCGTATTGATGAATGAGTGAGAGTGAATTAATTAATTATCAGCAGAAATATGCTTGAGAGATTGAATGTGTTAATGATTACTCAATGGGTAGGTACATTAGCACAAGTGAATGAGCAAGAGAATAAGTGAACGTATAAATGAGCAATTGAATGAATGAATCAGAGTGAATTAAACCAATTGAATGTATTCACGAGAACTAATGGGTTAATTAATTACCGATTCAATGAGTGAACGAATGAACAAACGATTGAATTAAAAAATCGGTTCAGTGAATAAAAGCAATTGAATGAATACGTGAGTGAATGAATGAATAAAGGATGTAATGGAGCGACTGAATTACCAAGCAAATGAGCAGCAGACGAACGGGTGAGCGAACGGCGGAGTGAGTGAGCGAGTGAGCGTGATGCCGCCCGCAGGCCGTACAACGCTACGGACCCGGCGGCCGGCCCGTCGGTAAAGGACCGCTACGTGACGGCCCTCTACTTCACCTTCAGCAGCCTCACGAGCGTCGGCTTCGGGAACGTGTCACCCAACACCAACTCGGAGAAGATCTTCTCCATCTGCGTCATGCTCATCGGATGTCAGTCGCCCACCTCCCCCCCCAACCACCTCTCCACCTACCGCTCGTTGATTTTGATTCATCGCTCGCCAGCGGCAGCTCCCGCACTCGTGTCCCTTACGTCTAACCATCACTGTACCTTACGTCTAACTCTCACTGTCCCTTAAGTCTAACTCTCACTGTCCCTTACGTCTAACCATCACTGTCCCTTATGTCTAACTCTCACTGTCCCTTACGTCTAACTCTCACTGTCCCTTACGTCTAACTCTCACTGTCCCTTACATCTAACCATCACTGTCCCTTACGTCTAACCATCACTGTCCCTTACGTCTAACCATCACTGTCCCTTACGTCTAACCATCACTGTCCCTTACATTTAACCCTCACTGTCCCTTACGTCTAACTCTCACTGTCCCTTACGTCTAACTGTCACTGTCCCTTACGTCTAACTCTCACTGTACCTTACGTCTAACTCTCACTGTCCCTTACGTCTAACCATCACTGTCCCTTACGTCTAACTCTCACTGTCCCTTACGTCTAACTCTCACTGTACCTTACGTCTAACCATCACTGTCCCTTACGTCTAACCATCACTGTCCCTTACGTCTAACCATCACTGTACCTTACGTCTAACTCTCACTGTCCCTTAAGTCTAACTCTCACTGTCCCTTACGTCTAACCATCACTGTCCCTTACGTCTAACTCTCACTGTCCCTTACGTCTAACTGTCACTGTCCCTTACGTCTAACCATCACTGTCCCTTACGTCTAACTCTCACTGTCCCTTACGTCTAACTCTCACTGTACCTTACGTCTAACTCTCACTGTCCCTTACGTCTAACCCTCACTGTCCCTTACGTCTAACTCTCACTGTCCCTTACGTCTAACTCTCACTGTCCCTTACGTCTAACCATCACTGTCCCTTACGTCTAACCATCACTGTCCCTTACGTCTAACTCTCACTGTCCCTTACATCTAACTCTCACTGTCCCTTACGTCTAACTCTCACTGTCCCTTACATCTAACCCTCACTGTCTCTTACATCTAACCATCACTGTCCCTTACATCTAACTCTCACTGTCCCTTACATCTAACTCTCACTGTCCCTTATGTCTAACCATCACTGTCCCTTACGTCTAACCATCACTGTCCCTTACATTTAACCATCACTGTCCCTTACGTCTAACTCTTACTGTCCCTTACGTCTAACTCTCACTGTCCCTTATGTCTAACCATCACTGTCCCTTACGTCTAACTCTCACTGTCCCTTACGTCTAACTCTCACTGTCCCTTACGTCTAACCCTCACTGTCTCTTACATCTAACCATCACTGTCCCTTACGTCTAACCCTCACTGTCCCTTACATCTAACTTTCACTGTCCCTTACGTCTAACCATCACTGTCCCTTACGTCTAACCATCACTGTCCCTTACGTCTAACCCTCACTGTACCTTACGTCTAACTCTCACTGTCCCTTACGTCTAACTCTCACTGTCCCTTATGTCTAACCCTCACTGTCCCTTACGTCTAACTCTCACTGTCCCTTACGTCTAACCATCGCTGTCCCTTACGTCTAACTCTCACTGTACCTTACGTCTAACCATCACTGTCCCTTACGTCTAACTCTCACTGTCCCTTACGTCTAACTCTCACTGTCCCTTACGTCTAACCATCACTGTCCCTTACGTCTAACCATCACTGTCCCTTGTGTCTAACTCTCACTGTCCCTTACGTCTAACTCTCACTGTCCCTTACGTCTAACTCTCACTGTCCCTTACGTCTAACGCTCACTGTCCCTTACGTCTAACCATCACTGTCCCTTACATCTAACTCTCACTGTCCCTTACGTCTAACCATCACTGTCCGTTACATCCAACTTTCACTGTCCCTTACGTCTAACCATCACTGTCCCTTACGTCTAACTCTCACTGTCCCTTACGTCTAACTCTCACTGTACCTTACGTCTAACTCTCACTGTCCCTTACGTCTAACCATCACTGTCCCTTACGTCTAACTCTCACTGTCCCTTACGTCTAACCATCACTGTCCCTTACGTCTAACCATCACTGTCCCTTACGTCTAACCATCACTGTCCCTTACGTCTAACTCTCACTGTCCCTTACATCTAACCCTCACTGTCTCTTACATCTAACCATCACTGTCCCTTACATCTAACTCTCACTGTCCCTTACATCTAACTCTCACTGTCCCTTATGTCTAACCATCACTGTCCCTTACGTCTAACCATCACTGTCCCTTACATTTAACCATCACTGTCCGTTACGTCTAACTCTTACTGTCCCTTACGTCTAACTCTCACTGTCCCTTACGTCTAACCCTCACTGTCTCTTACATCTAACCATCACTGTCCCTTACCTCTAACCCTCACTGTCCCTTACGTCTAACTCTCACTGTCCCTTACGTCTAACCATCACTGTCCCTTACGTCTAACCATCACTGTCCCTTACGTCTAACCATCACTGTCCCTTATGTCTAACCATCACTGTCCCTTACGTCTAACTCTCACTGTCCCTTACATCTAACTCTCACTGTACCTTATGTCTAACTCTCACTGTCCCTTACGTCTAACTCTCACTGTCCCTTACATCTAACCATCACTGTCCCTTACGTCTAACTCTCACTGTCCCTTACGTCTAACCATCACTGTCCCTTACATCTAACTCTCACTGTCCCTTACGTCTAACTCTCACTGTCCCTTACATCTAACCATCACTGTCCCTTACGTCTAACCATCACTGTCCCTTACGTCTAACTCTCACTGTCCCTTACGTCTAACTCTCACTGTCCCTTACGTCTAACCATCACTGTCCCTTACGTCTAACTCTCACTGTACCTTACGTCTAACCCTCACTGTCCCTTGCGTCTAACCATCACTGTCCCTTACGTCTAACTCTCACTGTCCCTTACATCTAACCATCACTGTCCCTTACGTCTAACCATCACTGTCCCTTACGTCTAACTCTCACTGTCCCTTACGTCTAACTCTCACTGTCCCTTACGTCTAACCATCACTGTCCCTTACGTCTAACTCTCACTGTACCTTACGTCTAACCCTCACTGTCCCTTGCGTCTAACCATCACTGTCCCTTACGTCTAACTCTCACTGTCCCTTACGTCTAACCATCACTGTCCCTTACGTCTAACGCTCACTGTCCCTTACGTCTAACCATCACTGTCCCTTACATCTAACTCTCACTGTCCCTTACGTCTAACCATCACTGTCCGTTACATCCAACTTTCACTGTCCCTTACGTCTAACCATCACTGTCCCTTACGTCTAACTCTCACTGTCCCTTACATCTAACTCTCACTGTACCTTACGTCTAACTCTCACTGTCCCTTACGTCTAACCATCACTGTCCCTTACGTCTAACTCTCACTGTCCCTTACGTCTAACCATCACTGTCCCTTACGTCTAACCATCACTGTCCCTTACGTCTAACCATCACTGTCCCTTACGTCTAACTCTCACTGTCCCTTACATCTAACCCTCACTGTCTCTTACATCTAACCATCACTGTCCCTTACATCTAACTCTCACTGTCCCTTACATCTAACTCTCACTGTCCCTTATGTCTAACCATCACTGTCCCTTACGTCTAACCATCACTGTCCCTTACATTTAACCATCACTGTCCGTTACGTCTAACTCTTACTGTCCCTTACGTCTAACTCTCACTGTCCCTTACGTCTAACCCTCACTGTCTCTTACATCTAACCATCACTGTCCCTTACGTCTAACTCTCACTGTCCCTTACGTCTAACTCTCACTGTCCCTTACGTCTAACCATCACTGTCCCTTACGTCTAACCATCACTGTCCCTTACGTCTAACCATCACTGTCCCTTATGTCTAACCATCACTGTCCCTTACGTCTAACTCTCACTGTCCCTTACATCTAACTCTCACTGTACCTTATGTCTAACTCTCACTGTCCCTTACGTCTAACTCTCACTGTCCCTTACATCTAACCATCACTGTCCCTTACGTCTAACTCTCACTGTCCCTTACGTCTAACCATCACTGTCCCTTACATCTAACTCTCACTGTCCCTTACGTCTAACCATCACTGTCCCTTATGTCTAACTCTCACTGTCCCTTACGTCTAACTCTCACTGTCCCTTTCATCTAACTCTCACTGTCCCTTATGTCTAACTCTCACTGTCCCTTACGTCTAACTCTCACTGTCCCTTACGTCTAACCATCACTGTCCTTTACGTCTAACCATTACTGTCTCTTACGTCTAACTCTCACTGTCCCTTACGTCTAACCATCACTGTCTCTTACGTCTAACCATCACTGTCCCTTACGTCTAACTCTCACTGTCTCTTACGTCTAACTCTCACTGTCCCTTACGTCTAACCATCACTGTCCCTTACGTCTAACTCTCTCTGTACCTTACATCTAACCATCACTGTCCCTTACGTCTAACTCTCACTGTCCCTTACGTCTAACTCTCACTGTCCCTTACGTCTAACCATCACTGTCCCTTACGTCTAACTCTCACTGTCCCTTGCGTCTAACCATCACTGTCCATTACGTCTAACCATCACTGTCCCTTACGTCTAACCATCACTGTCCCTTACGTCTAACTCTCACTGTCCGTTACGTCTAACCATCACTGTCCCTTACATCTAACTCTCACTGTCCCTTACGTCTAACCATTACTGTCCCTTACGTCTAACTCTCACTGTCCCTTACATCTAACTCTCACTGTCCCTTATGTCTAACTCTCACTGTCCCTTACGTCTAACCATCACTGTCCCTTACGTCTAACCATCACTGTCCCTTACGTCTAACTCTCACTGTCCCTTACATCTAACCCTCACTGTCCCTTACATCTAACTCTCACTGTCCCTTACGTCTAACCATCACTGTCCCTTACGTCTAACTCTCACTGTCCCTTACGTCTAACCATCACTGTCCCTTACGTCTAACCATTACTGTCCCTTACGTCTAACCATCACTGTCCCTTACGTCTAACTCTCACTGTCCCTTACG